AAGGTAAGATAGCTAAATGAAAGATTTAAGAAGGTAAGATAGCTAAATGAAAGGATGGAGAAGGTAAGATAGCTAAATGAAAGGTTGGAGAAGGTAAGATAGCCAAAAGGAAAGGTTGGAGAAGGTTAGGAAAACCTAAATGAAAGGGTTGAAAAGGTTAGAGATGGTTTTAGAATTTAGAATTTAGAACATTCCCTTGGTTACACCAAATATTTATTGGGGCAAATCGGTCAGAGGATCCAAAAGTTATGATTGGACATTCCAACAAACAGACAAACAGAAATCACTACTTTAGTAATGTAAATGCATTATATTTTCGTAAAATTTACACTATTCACAAGTAAAACTACTCAAAGTAAGATTACACAGTAGGGTTGAAGAGAAAATTCCTCTCAACTCTAGAGTTACTTTTAGGTTTTATACGGGTCAGAGGGGGATTCATGTCAATCCTGTAAGTGTCCTCCAGAGATCCTGGGAATATGAGATCCCCATGTCCCAAGATCTTTACCTCCCCAACCTCCATCACCACTCTGTCACATCCAAAAACCTGGTAACCAGGCCGCACATGGTCAAGACCGATTTTTCTGGTAACCTCGAGCTTCCAGGTTCCAGAAATATCACAAAAAAGCACTCTACACTCCAAGCAACCCATGTAAACCTAAAATAAAATTGAACAATTAAAGGGACAGACCAGATATGTAAGGTAGTTGAACTGAGTGTGCAGTGTTGTGGACAAATTTTTTAAGATTCATTCTAAACATATTAAACTTTTTAAAGATCTGTAAATCCTGATTTTGAGCACAAAGTCGACGTTCAAAATCGTACTTTTGGGTGGATACATTTTCAGAATTTTTTTTTTTTTAATTATTAAATAACAACGACAAAAAATGTTAACAAAATTCTAAAGCAAACAAATTAGTTGTTTAGGAACAGGTTGAGAAAATAAAAATTAATCTTTTCATCAAAAATAAGTAATCTTGTTCAATTATTAGTTTCTATTTTCTCATTATTCTAGTCTTTCATTTTTCATAAAGATTTTCTGTAGATTTTCTGGATTTTTTTTTGGAAAAAACGACATTTGAAAAATTTGTAGATAAATCTACCAATAAATTCATAGAAAATAAGAAATTCAATTTAATGATGAAAACGAAATAATTGATTCTAGCTTTGATTTATTGACAAATTACTTTTGAGAAATATGTTCCTAAACATCTAATTAGTTTACTGTATAATTTATACTATTTTTTTCGTCGTCGTTATTTAATTATTTTTAAAAAATCGGTTCTGAAAATGTACCCACCCAAATTCATGATTTTGAACGTCGACTATGCACTCAAACTCAGAAATTTACATCGTGGAAAAGTTTTACATATCTTAAATGAATCGTAAAGCATTTGTCCACAACTGCATACTCAGATTAACTACATTACATATCCAGTCTATCCCTTTGNATCCCTTTAAATAAAATAACATAAAATCTGAAGAAAGTAAAGTTAGACTTTGTTTCATTTTTTTGGTTCATCATTCATAATTAACCGATTTTGTACGTTTTTTTTTACAATTTTATGGTTCATTTTCCATCTATTTTTGTTTGTTTACAAAAAAATCAACAGTTTTTTTCTTTCAAAATCTTGTGGAAAATTTGTTCATTCAGTAAAAAACGATAGTTTTTTTTCTTCTCTCCGAACGATCCATTTTGTTCCTCAATCTTTCGTTTTTTCCTGAACGACACCCTTTTCCACTAAAAATTGTGTTCTTTCAAAATTAGAGGTAAACATTTGTTGACAAATAACAATGCATATAAATAAATATGCTTACAGCAGTGCGTTCTTGTAATACTTGATCCTCTGTCCACCAGGCCAGCCCACCATCATGGAGACTAATCAGAACTCAAATTTCAAAACCATCGATGTCCATATTTTCTGAAGTAAAAATAGAAATAATGGCAAAAATTACACTTTTAAGTCCTAGAGAACAATTTTTGGACCCCCCCTCCCCCTTCCTATCAATTTTGTGCAGTATACTTGTACATGATTATTATTTTTCAATTTAGGGTTAGGTTAAATTTAAGACAATTTCTGGGTCGAGTGCTGCGGCTAGGACAGGCTAGGGGGCTGAGCGCCAAGGCTAGGACAGGCTAGGGGGCCGAGCGCCAAGGCTAGGACAGGCTAGGGGGCCGGGCGCTGCGGCCACATGACGAATGATAACAATGTACACTATTGATAGGAGGGGGGGGGGGGCCCAAAAATCGTTTTCTAAGAAATTACCAAAAAGACTTGTAGCGCACCATAACAATAGTACGGAAGAATAGGGTCTGTCCTGGAGAACGATTTTTGGCCCCCCCCCCTTTATCAATTTTGTACATGACCACTTTTTCAACAATTTTCAATTAAATTATTATTTATTTCGGGTTAGGTTAGGTTAAGACACTTTCTGAGCCGAGCGTCGCGGCTTGGAAGCCGAGCGCTGCGGCCACTGGTTAGGTTAAGTTAAGACACTTACTGGGCCGAGTGCTGCGCCCACATTTCTTACATTTAATATCCATGTACAAAATTGATAGGAGGGGGGGGGGCCCAGAGGGGCGTCCAAATATCGCTCTCATGAAATTACCAAAAAATATTATTTGACACGATAAATAATAATATATTGTAGGTGCAAGTTTTTTTCTTTTGGTTTCATAAATCGAGATATTGAATTTAAAAAAAAAAATTTCAGCTCTTTATAAGATTTGTCATTGTCAACAATATTAATCCATGAAATTATCTATGATATTTAACATAGTTGTATCTTATATGCTAGACATGGATATAATTGACCATGTGGCCGCAGCGCTCGGCCCCCTAGCCCATCCTAGCCGCAGCGCTCGGCCCAGAAAGTGTCTTAACTAACCTAACCCGTGGCCGCAGCGCTCGGTCCCCAGCATATCCTAGCCGCAGCAATCGGCCCAGAAAGTGTCTTAACCTAACCTAACCCTAAATAATAATAAATAAATACTAATTTACTAACTTCGTCATGTACAAAATTGATAGGAGGGGGGGGGGCGGGGGTCCAAAAATCGTTCACTAGGACAGACCCAATTATGGAATAGAAGTAATTATTTAATTAATTCATGCATGTCGAGATCTCGGACTAAAAGACCTTCTTAAGATATTTATAATTTAAAGGTTGAATTTGCCACTCCAGACGTAAACAATTCTTGAAATTTCCAACCTTTAGTATTTACGAATTATATGCATTCACAATCAAATGTTTAAAAGTTATTTTTAGACTATAACTTTGATTTCGTTTTAAAATAAGTGGTAAGCTGTCCGTCTTCGCGCCATGTTTTGATTAAACTGGAAAATCCAAACTGCCACTGGGAATTTTACGCACGCGCTTTGTTGATATCAATCAGAATTCTGTTTGAATTAACAAATCGTCTTTATTGATGCAAGTAGAATTCTGCTTAATCTATTTTCCGGGGAAAAAAATTTGATGTGATTCTAATTTTACTTATATCAATTATTATTTAGACTAATTCAAGTGAAATCATTCTGACCAGAAAACATCAAATTTTAAACGATATATCAATGAATGTCTTCTATATACTGGTTATATTGGCCTGAAATATAATCATATTGAAAATTTGCAAAATGGCATTTCTAACAGTGTACACACACGAAATCGGTAAATGTTTGCAGAAAAATCTGCAAAAATTGGAGTTTTATAATTACGAAAAACTGGCTACTTAAAAAGCAACAGTTAAACACTGTAGGTGTTGCTAAAAGAACTACGTATAAATCTTGATTCTCTAAATATACATAAATATACGTAGGTTGTTTCTATTGCGTTCTCACATGACTCCAAGTATCTGTTAGCACAAGGAGGATCACCAGACTTCAAGCTGGTTTATTTCTTCTGGGAGAAGGTTCAAATATTTAAATAATACAAGGCTACCCACAAAGAACGAGTCTTAATATGACGTCCTAAAATTCTTTTAAAAAACAACGACAAAAATGCTAGGTCTGGTTTTTGTCTTTAAACAATGTCTTAATTAACGTAAAATTTAATGAGTTTACAAAGAAAGAAATAAGTGTTCTGCCATGTTGGGTCGTATTAATATCAGAAAGAAAAAAACATATGAAAAAGTTCCATATACAGTCGTTTATAAAGCTAGTCTCATCCTATGTGTGTAACCCTGTCTCTGTTTTTAGATTATTTTTTTTCCAACATAATTTTGCTCTTTCAGGGAAAAATTATAACATCTCTAAATACCCAGCAGCACTCTACAGGCACAGTAATAAGTGTCAGGGGAGGCAATAGTTCTTTTTAAAATCAATTGTTTTTTTCTTTTTATAATGGATTCTTCAATTTTTCAAGAATATTGTTACCCCATGTTCATTTATCTGAATTAAAATGCTCCTTTGCACAGTTTTCATATAATAATATCGCCCCTTCGCTTTTATCTAAAATGATCAAGTTCACAATTTTCTAGAAAATATTGCCCCCTGGAAACTTTTCTGGAATAATATTGCCCCGTGTTCAGTTTTCTAGAACAATATTGTATCTAATCATGGTTGTCTAAAATAATGTGATAATATTTTCTAAAATAATATTGACCACTGGAAAGTTTTCTAGAATAATATTGCTCCCTGGAATGTTTTCTAGAATAATATTACCCCCTGGAATGTTTTCTAGAATAATATTGCCCCCTGGAATGTTTTCTAAAATAATATTGCCACCTGGAATGTTTTCTTTTAAAAATATTGCCCCCTGGAAACTTTCTTGGAATAATATTGCCCACTGGAATGTTTTCTAGAATAATATTGCCCCTGGAATGTTTTCTAAAAGAATATTGGCCCCTGAAATATTTTCTCAAAGAATATTGCCCCTAGAATGCTTTCTAAGACTTTATTGGCCCTGGAAAGTTTTCTTTAAAAATATTGGCCCCTAGAATGTTTTCTAAGACAATATTGGCCCTGGAAAGTTTTCTAGAATAATATTGCCCCCTGTTTAGTTTTCATCCAAAGGATCATGACGTGATCTGTATAACAGGAAAGGGTTTAATATATGACGAAGTTAAACTCCTAAATTTCGCTGAAGGAAAATATTATTATTTTCGAAATTTTCTCCTCCGACGCGATTAGCCGATAAATCTTGGCCCCCCAAGAATGTCACCTATATAGCCCTCAATCATTCTTTTAGTCTGCAATGTAATCTATAAAATAATATGAGAAGCGATGTAATCTATAAAATAATATGAGAAACGATGTAATCTATAAAATAATATGAGTAGCGATGTAATCTATAAAATAATATGAGAATAAGATTAAAATTGTATCCGGAATTGTTTTAACTCTGTCCTGTAAACCCCTTGATGACAGGAAAGCAGATATTACGGTTCTGTAGGTTGGTGGAGGGGACACTAAAGTCATTCGGATTTGCCAAGGGGGACTCATACAACTGTACCGTACATACCTGGCTCTCTCCCAGGTACAACTATATCATGTTCACTGTTACAGAAACTCGTATTTTCAAATATATATTGTAATGTATCTTTGAAACCTTTTATATTTTAAATTTAGATGTAACAGAATTTATAAGTTCGAAATATTTAAAGTCTTCGAGATTGGGTGCAAAAATATAGAGATTAGAAAATACTTTGAATATTTTTAATTGTAGGAATTGAAGGAAAATGTCGAAATTAAATATTTTTCAAGCTATACCACTTTTAAAATGGAGTATCACTTGAAACTTGAAAAGAATGTTTGTATATTTGGTTAATGTGCTAGTCGTACTAAAAATCATTATTGAGCAAAGTAATTATATCTATCTTAGGTTTAACATTTCCATAATAAATGTAAGAAAAAAAATTATTTTAACCACTGCAAATTTTTCTTTTCAAAATGTAAAAAGTTCATGTTCTTTTGAAATATTCCGTGCGTTATTAAAAACTTAAATATTGTAACCAGTGTTCCAAACTGTGTACAAAGGTAAAACTAAGAGATAAAAGTTAAAAGTTAAAAACAAATATTGTACATTTATTGCATTTTTTAAATATTTGAGCAATATCTTTAGATGATGTTGTGAAAAACGTTTATTTTTAGATTATTTAGTTTTTTTAATTTTTGCGAGTTAATACGCGCTTATTTGGGCAATAAAGAGAAAATTAAATTTATGAAAACATTTTTAAATTTTTATTTACTTTAGGTTTTCACACAAAAAAATTTATTTTGTAAGATGAAAAGTATCGTTTTTTCGTTCCCTTTCCTTGTTTGTGATTATTTTTTTATATTCTTTTTTAACAGAATCTCCCCGGTTTCTCCTTTAATATTTTCATTGGGTGGATTTTTAAAGATTAAATTAAGCGATTCACAATTAATGATTCTGTAACTGAACTTTTTTCTTGGAGAACGTTATGAAATTAACTTCTCATAAATTCTACAGACGCAAACGAGCAAGAAAATGTGTGGAAGTGTTTGGAAGTATACAGGGTTAGTCAAAAAAAATGTGATTTGTGGCGCTTGGTGAAAAATTGTACTTTTTTTGTGCAACTCTCCTGTATGGTGTTTTTTCAATATTTTTTGAAAATTTGTAATTTATTTTGGTACTTTAACGGCCCAAAAAAAATTCGCGAACCTTTTTTCTTTCAAAATCAAAAGTTCAGAAAAGCAAAAAATGTGTATATAAATTGTTTCTATCGAAATCTAAAATTTTAAAAAGATTGAATCACAGAATCTCAGAAAATTTCCAAAATTGTAATTAGCAAATTCGCAATTTTCAGTTCTGGTATAATTTTCACGGCAAAATTATTTTTCAATGGTTTCGACTGAACAGCGTTGTTTTAATACTTTAGAATATACTAAGAAGAAAGGAACTAGAGAATTGAAATAACTTTTTATTAAAAATTAGACCAGAATTAAAAATTGAGAATTTGAATTTTGCGAATTTTTTGTGATTCTTTGATTTAATCTTTAAAATATTTTAGATTTCGATAGATATAATATATATATACACATTTTTGCTTTTCTGAACTTTTGATTTTGAAAGAAAAAAAGGTTCGCGAATTTTCTTTTGGGCCATTGAAGTACCAAAAAAAAGATTACAAATTTTCAAAAAATATTGAAAAAACACAATGCAGGAGAGTTGCACAAAAAAGGTACAATTTTGCACCAGGCACCGCAAATCACACTTTTTTTTTGACTCTGTAGATAAACCAATGTCTTTTTACCACATTTTCTCAGATAAATATTTAAGGGGATAGTAAATCCATAAGTCAATCCTTCAAGTGTGGGGTCACCGAGAATAAAATTAAGAATCCTTGTTAAGGCATGTTCTTGTAGCGGCAGAAAATTCAAGAATTATACTATTTGAAGACGCTGATCTTAAGGTGAACAAATATACAGGGTTACCTACAAAGATGAGACTTTAATGACGACCTGAAACTATTTACAAATGATGAATTAAAGATCGAATTTGCATTTTTAAAGGTCTATTAATTGATCTGACAACGATTAAAGATGAGTGTGAGGATACGCTTGCTTGGTGTTAAATGTAATCCAAAACATGAATTTTGTTACAATAATTAGTAATTCAATTTTCAAGTCTAAAGTGTTTATATTTAGACAAAGAGAATAGAATATATATTAGAGGGGAATTTACTAGAAAAAAGTGTAAAACGGCCATTTTGTTGTACTGTTTTCATACTGCAGGTGTACTTCACATATTTATGCTATATAACCTTTTGGGCCCTGGAATATCATTTTATAGAAAATCTAAAATTAATATTAAAAGAAAACCAAATTATGAAATAGGCTAGTTTGACCAATGATCATTTCACATGGACTCTATGCCTTTCACTTTAAAAACGATGATTTTCCGTTAAAACTGTAAATCAAATGACTTTTTTTATTCACCTAATTCATTATAAAGTTTATTTAACAGCTTTATAAAATTCGAAGTTGAAATGGATAGTCTAGGGAACATACTGTATTAATGTACTCTACTGCATATAATTTGTGAACATTTACATGATTTGTACACTTTGAACTCCCTTTCAGGCTGAAAAGGACTGAAAAAATTCATACCGAGAGATTCCCTAAATTCCCCTCTAATATATATTCTATTCTCTTTGTATTTAGATGAGTTGTAGTATCACAGATCTTCTAGATAACCCATCTCAGGTAGATTTTATTAATTTAAAGGGATTGTTCGATAATTTGGAAATTATATGTTTGTAACATATTCATGCAAGTCTTTTTTCATCAATCCTTTATTTATGAAACATCCATTACGGTTGCATTAATATTTGGATTCAACTGATAATCTGTAACTTTAAGATAAGAATTAAACAAGCTTTAATGTTTAAAAAATATATAATTTCACTTAAAGTGATTCACACAGGCACTCATCAAGCCTTAAAGCTAGAAAAATAAGGACATCTATAATCAACCTTGATCATGCAATGGTTTAAAGGGTATCATTGTAAATGTAAATCATACAACTCTCTAAATGGAGTGTATCTCGAAATTAGGTCTACGGTCCTTTTAATAATTACATGAAAATCAGGAGAAAGATGGCCTCCATGAGATCGGGTTCCTCCTGGCCTACTCGAAGGGGTTCGCCTGCTCCCACGGGAAGGACTGCGTCTTCCTGTTTGAGCAAGAGGTCCTCGCTAACGACGAGATTCAGTTTAAGATGATGAAGAAGATAAGTTTACCAAAATCTATTCTAAACGAGGACAGTGTTGATACAAGGAGCGTCAGGAATACAAGAATTCAGGTGTTTACGTTAATTATATGGATAGATAGATAGATGAACAGACAGATAGATGAACAGACAGATAGATAAACAGACAGATAGGTAAACAGACAGATAGATGAACAGACAGATAGATAAACAGACAGATAGATAGACAGACAGATAGATGAACAGACAGATAGATGAACAGACATATTGATGAACAGACAGGTAGATGGACAGACAGGTATATAGACAGACAGGTAGATGGACAACAGATAGATGGACAGATGGATAAATGGACGGACAGACAGAAGAACAAACATACAGATTACAGATGGACGAACAGGCATATGGACAGACAAATAAAAATCAACTATGAACATGAAGTTCATGAAATCTATTTAAAGAGGTTGGCTATGAACATGAAGTTCATCAAATCTAATTAAAGAGGTTGGCTTATAGACATTAAGTTCATAATATATATTTAAAGAGGTTGACTATGAACCCGAAGGAGGATTTATTGATAGCTCTGTCCTCGGACCTTCTCATCTATTCCTTCAATATCAAACCAAAGGTTGGAATTTCATCTTACATACACCATGAAGTAGTTTGTACAATATGCAGACATATTTGAATCTTTTAATGGTCATATCTGCTAAGCAGAACCTTCAATTCTAGCAGATATATTACAGGAGAATTCTGCTAAGCAGAACCTTCTATTTTAGCAGATATATTACAGGAGAATTCTGCCAAGCAGAACCTTCTATTCTAGCAGATATATTACAGGAGAAGTCTGCTAAGCAGAACCTGTTTTCTGTCTTCTTGTATCCGTTTCACAGCAGTTCTATTCTTGGTCTTGATATATGTCACAGGAAACCTTTGATCCTCACATGCAGTAAAGATAATACTATCAGGTATAAAAATAGTTATAATGATAAAGATAATAATAATGATAACAATAATTCGAATAATAATAATTATGATTATAACGATAATAATAAGGACAATAATAATAATGATAGCAATAATATATACAAATTATATTGATGAGTAATAATAAGTTATATTGATAAGAAAAGTAATAATAAAAACAAATTTTGTAACAATCCAAAAATTTAGAAAATTTTTTATTCAAATCAAGACACACTTTCGCAAAACATTATATAATTTGCGCCAAAAGCTAAAACTAAGTGTCAGAAAACAGGAAATTAATTTTTAGAGTTTCATAGTGTTCACAGAAAAAAATATCACAAGCCTAGTAATAATAATAATTAAAATGGTATTAATAATTTATTTGTTAATAGTTAAAAAGAAGATAAATTCTAATTTTTTTAATATTTCTCTAGAATCTGGAACTTCAATACATTGAAGCTAGAATTGGGCAAAAGATTCAGGAAAATTGTGTTTATTTCACAAAAAATATTTTATCTATTTTTAATTTTAATTTTTACATGTTTCACAAAGCTTTCTGAATCATGAAAAACCCAATATCCTCAAGTGGACTGATAAATTGCATCTCAATTCATCCAGACGGTTTATTTTTTGTTGCCGGGTTTTCGGATAAAATAAAATTCTTCAATATTCTGATAGGTAAGATAGTTTGATTTTAAAACATTAAAAAAATTACTTTTTTTAAACTAAAAGTTTACATTTTAGTTCAGTATTACTAAGGTCTTTGTGGACCTATCCTCATATTTATTGGGAACCTCATGAGATTATACTATTCCAGGTTAAAACATAGATATTCCCGTGAGGTTGCCAACTTAGGAGGGTTTGGGTCCAAATCACTTAACTCAGAATTTACTTGTTTTTTTATTGAAGACGACATGCGTCTGTTTGAAGAAATCCTCCTACGTGACTGCCAGGTTGTACAGTTCAGTAATGGTGGACATTTGATAGCGCTGGCAATCAAGGAATATGATTTAGCAGAAGAAAAAAACATTTAAAATACAAATTTCTTTTTTTTCTTTTTGAAATACTTTTTATAATAAATTGTTGAAAATATTGATAAATCAGGATACAATTTATATTTACAACACCATAAAGCTGAAACAAGTTCACATTCTCAAAGGAACGTAATTTTATTACAAAGTAGATTTTCGAAAAAATCCAAACCATAAAAAAAATTAGACATCATTACATAAAAGGCAATTTTAAGTTGAGTTTTGATAAATGACGTCTGGGCGTTAAGGTCACCAAGGAGAGGTGACCAGCATGTCCTGGGCTCAAGATGATCTCAAGATAGTTTCCTGTGCAGCTAACGGGTCTTTATATGATTGGAATGTAGCATCAGGTACAGGGTTAACCACAAAGGATGAGAATTAAGACTTCAGAGCCGACTGTACGGACTTCATTCTGTCTGTTTCCTTAAATTCATGATTCTCAGCAACTATAAACGTCAGACTTTCTTTACCAAATCATCTAATAAACCATTTAAAGAATACTCAATCCATACCTGGGATTGTTAAGTTTGTAGAGATTTAAGTCATCTGTCTAACCCTCTGTAGATAACCCTGTATTGTATAAAGGTTACCAACTAAGAATGAGACTATAACCTCGACCAAAATATCTTTCTCAGGGTTAATTAAATACTGAAAAATTTTCTTGTGAACTTTTTAAAAATGATTTGACAAAGTAGGAAACAATGAAACAATGGCTTATATGTAGGATCTAGAGAGCCATGAATGTAAGGAAAAGGACAGAATACATTCCATACACTCTACAGTCCGGAGCAGTTAATATCGTTAGTATCTTTTTCTTGTACAGGTCCAGCCTTTAATGACAGATGAAGTTTTGATTACAGGGACTGTATTCGTAATTTTAACTGACCTTTCATGCAAAGATAGAAATGTCCGATTTACAATGGTACCCCGAAAAGCTTTGTCTGATCAAGTATAAAAGATTTCCATGATTTTGTTCTTTTAAACTGTTTATTTTCCTTTGTGGTTTCTCTGCAAGAGCGACTTTGGCATTTCTTGCCCATAAGAAACAATGGAGAAATTATCAGTAACAAATACGTTTCTATTTGGAAGAACGACGTTATTTTCCACATTTTTGATCAGATTAAGGTTTCAAGAACTGTTGTAATTCGGGCATTGCCATCTTTTCTTGGAAGGTGACATGGAATTACGCTCCAGTCCCTTAAAGATTATTTGAATTTATGTTTAGGTGAAAGAATTCATGAAGTTGTTGTGAAATCATGTTCCTTTACTAGTCTTACAGTTTCTCCAGAGGGAACTGATACTCTAGCTGTAGGGTCAGATAGGTAATATAGAACAAACAAGAAAACGGTGGAAGGATTGTCGTCTTTGATCTACATTTTGAATAGAATTATCGCTAACGTTTTTGTAATTTTTAATTATCTCAATTGATATATTTCTAATATTATAGGCTCATATAGGAAATTGTTAAAATTAATTCGAAATATAAGGAAGACGATTTTTCCGACTCAAATGCCCCAGCCTTTTCTCTAGATGTATGTGTACTCAAATCCATTTCCTCCTCATGTAGTGCCCACATGTCGAATCTCCGCTCATCCCAGTTCCCTCCCGGTATTCAGTCATGTTAGGACAGTTGAACTAGTAACAGCTCCGACACAGGGAGCCTCTTGACTCCTTTATGATGATGACGCAGATACTCAGATAGCAGCAGACGCTCTTACCCGAAGGGTTCCCAGTTCATCATGCATTCCAGAGACAACATAATCGCTCATAGCCAGCATGACAAGCCGCGATCTCTGCCTACTAGGTTGGATAAGTCCTGTTGTTCAAGATCCTGTTGATCTGCTTCACCAACATGAAGATCTACATCACTCCCATGAAGTACCCACAACATTCATCATTAATTCCTTTGTTAATTTCTAAATCAACCAATTTTAACTCCGCCTTAAATGCAAATATTTCAAAACACTTTTGTTTAAATAAATGTTAGAAATATCCATTTTAGATCTCTTTATTTTATTATAGTGACTTTTCAAGTCAACAGAAATACATATCTTTAGGTTCAGATAAAATTCAACTAGTAGAACCCATAAAACTGTTAAAGAGAAAGATGACTGTTAGATTCAATATGATATCCAATAGTTCAATGAACATGAATAACAGCAAATCTTCTGAGTACATGGATTCATTTCAATTAATCAGTTTATTTTCAAGGTTCCTAGTAAAACTATTTGATATCTTTAACAGCAGCCAACACACATAAGATTGCTTAAATTCTGTCTTTATGGGGCTCAATTTACGTATATATCGAAGGTTTATAAAGGTAATGTATATATATAAATATACTGAAGGTTCATATATAAGTATTTAAGGTTTTCAGAATCTAGTCTAAAGTCGGACCCTTTGTGTGGAGTATCGTTAATTTTAAAGTTATCTCTGCAGGGTTTGACCACCACGGGATATTAAGAGGAATCAAATTAATCCATAGATCTGCAAAAGATGGAGATCAATGTTTGAGTTCTTATAAGATATTTGTTCAGCACACTGAAGCAGATTTCCAACTCCAGATTAATGCAGGAGTTAGATCTTCATACCTTTACTCTATCAGCTATATCACTATCTACAGATGGAAAAATACTAGGTCAGAAATTCTTAAAATCTTTCTTAAATAATTCATAAATAATTTACAACTAAAGATCATAATTAACGAATAGTGTGTAGTTGAACTAGGTTTACAAAACTGAATCTGAGACAAGAATATAACAAGTCATAGACCAGAGGCTATAACTCTTGGTTTGGATAGCGCATAGGTGCATGGACTGAACCTGATATCCACCACATACACTTTTAAGTTAAAGGATTAAAATTGTTTGCTTAATTTGCTATTCTCAAATGATATTGAATAAGAGTTAAAAAATAGGACGTCAACTTGTATATAATATATTTTAGTGTCTGGGACTACAACAGGAACTATTCTCTTTTTCAAATATCCACTAACGTAAGTCATTTCTCATCAGGATTTAGGATTTGAACCGGTGGTAGGTAGTTCAGTAACCTCTCCAATTCAATAAATTCGCCCTCCCTCCCCCCCCCCCATCCCCATGTGAATTTATGAAATAATTAACAAATAAACTAACTAACTTGCGAGTTAAAAGAAACCAACAAAATAGTCAATAAAGAATGAACCAAAAAAATAACTAAGGCATTATTTAATTGGCAAAATTTATTCTTAGTCTTCCTGGGGAATGGAAAGAGTTTAAGATGCATGGAGATCAAGTAAACTTTGTCAAGGTAATTTAAGCTACACTGCCCTGGGAAGCGATTTTGAAAAAGTGTTAACGACCACCTCTAAAATTTATTCTACAAGATGAATGAAACGCATGGGAATACAGATCTGTTTTATCAAAATATTTCATCAGGCCCATCGGATTTTACGCCTAAAATACCTAAATTAAGAAAATCAAAAAAAAAATTCTTCAGTTTTTTGTTTATTTTGTGTTTTTGAAACCCTATTTTACAGTTCTGAAGAAATAGAAAAAAATAATTGATAAAAATTTATGCTAACCTAATGCTGGATTTTTGATTTGACGCTAATTTATAATTTTATGCAATGATTATTAATTTTATAAACAATGTTTTCAAATTTTGAAAGGACAAGAGCCATTTTTTTTAAAAAGTTCATCTGTTTTTTTAAAAAGGTTGATTTATTTCACAGTAAAATGTTTAACCATAAAATATTTTAAGATTTCTCACACCAACGATATTATTGTTTCCGCAAGCCTGGATGGATCCTTCTGCATTTGGAAACTTCCAGAGGTATTTATTTGAAAATAATTGTGTTTTTAAACTAAAATGAAAGTGATACAATGCCCTTTTTATGTACTGCAGGAGAACCAGGAGGCCTTGAAGTACAATTATGCTCGTGAGATATTGATAACTAAAAGTGAACTGGAAAGTAAGAATAGTCTGATAGAGGAACTGAAACAGAAAGTTGACGAGTCTAAAACAGAATGTACATATCAGCTCAGGTGGGTGCACTGTACTTTTACCAAGGATTCAGGATAAAAAGATTCAGATACAGGGTCGAGAGTTCAGAGACGACTGTACGGAATTTACACTGTCTATTATCTGATATTCCTGATTCCTGGCAACTTCTTTCTTTCTTTGTCCAATCATTGAATAGACTAAATCTAATCTTAGGATTGTCACATCTAGAGAGTTTCAAGTCATCTTTACAGTCTCATCCTTTGTGGGTAATACTGCAGCTGGAAAGTGATAGTCTCATAGCGATTAAATCTTTGTGGGTAATACTGCAGCTGGAAAGTGATAGTCTCATAACGATTAAATCTTTGTGGGTAATACTGCAGCTGGAAAGTGATAGCCTCATAGCGATTAAATCTTTGTTACTGCATTAGACAAAAAAGATTTGTGTTTGAAAAATAAAACATGAAAATTCTTAACTCTCCGTCAAGTCAGATTAAAGTTAATGTTTTACCACCTATGAGTTTTACTAATTCTTAAATTTCCCCCCAGATTGAAGGATAATCAGAATTCTGATCTGATAAAGGAAATTAACAAAAAGACAAGATTAGAAAAAGAACAGCTGGCTCAAACTATAAGTAGACTTCAGGTACAGTAGGGAAATTAATTTACCACCGTTTACCCAAAAGGAGCTGAGTTTTTGATACAAAATCTGATTTTCTAATCTCTATATCTTTGCAACCCAATATCAAAGACCTTATATATTTAATTCGGTTAGATTAAATAATTTAAATATCAAAGGACCATCAATTTTCAAAAATTTTAATTTGGGGCAAAGACTCAATTTTTTTATTTTGATTTAACATTGATTACACTGTTGAACCCCAGTTTACCCAGATTTACCCCTGCTTTGTATAGGCTGAGGTAGAATTACAAAGGAAGACAAACTCCCAGCAAATGGAGCAAATGAAAACAGAGAATGAGAGAAGATTACTGGATCTTCAGGATCTATACAAGGATAAGCTTGTTACAGAATATCAAAAGGTGCTTGCCTAAAATATGGGACTTTTACTAAGCACTTTACCAAATAGTATGGAAAGTTATCATCTTGCTAAATATATGACTTTTAATATACTTATTACTTACTTCTACTGCTGGTAAAGCAAATTAGCCAATATGTATTAAATAATCTTTATCCTCATAACAAAACCAAATACAAAAAGTTAAAACAGGTATAGAGCAATCTCAACCAAACTTGGAAAAATACAAAGAGTCACTTCAGGATATATATTTCGATAAAAATATAATCATCATCAGTCCAAAGATGGGTGGTGTTGTTAAGGTCTGGATTTAAACCTTTAAACCAAATACTTCTCTCTGAGCTTTGTTAAAATTTTGCACTGTTTTACGTTTTTTAAATCTTAATGTACTGCATGTGTACTGTCATAATAACAATTACGTAAGTATAAATAAATAAGCGAAGTTAAAGGGAGTGTTCGCGAAAAATGAAACGGGGTATAGGCTTAATGCGATAAAAAGCGCTTTTAATCGCTACTAATCTTACTTCTATCTGTTGCGTCTATAAGGAGAAAATTGTTAAAGACGTCTCATACCGAAGAACGTAGCGCCCATACAAATTGAGAAAATTGCAACATACGACTTAGACCGTAAAAAAAAAACAATTTAATTCAGATATTACAACCTATAGTCATCGATTATCTTTCGCCACATTTGTATATAGTTTATATTTTTTCATATTTTTCATTTTTCGCGAACACTCCCTTTAAGGATAGGAAAAATTAAGGATGACTGGACTTTGCAATATGGCGCTCTTTATTATTTGAAGCGGGGGGGGGGGGTGCTATGAAATAGAAAATTTAGTAGGAAACTATGCGAAACAATGTGAAAAAGAACAACATAAAATAAACGGAAACAAACATTATATTATGTTATTTTTCTCAATAATGGGAGAATCTGAAAGGCTATACTTCTATACTTGAAATTAATAGAACATTTATGAAAGTCAAAGAATATTAATGCACTGCATGATGCCTTTCTTTATTGACAAATTTTTAGTACGGAGATCTTGAACAGTCCTCGGAGGCTCTGAAGATGAAGAACAAGACCAAGATTGAACACCTGGAGAAGGCGATAGAGAGTAAGGTTGGAAAGATCAAGGAGGAGTTTGAAGCTAAGATCCAGGCTTACAACCAGGAGATGATGGAGAAGGAGAAGGCAGGGGAGGAAAGTATCAGAGCTATTGAAGAGGTTCTTAAACAGACAGAGGAGGATGCTGACAAGGTTAAAACTTTTTAAATTTATCTCAAACCCCGTTAGAATGGAAAATTTGCCACACGCCCAAAGTCTATGCAACTTAATGGTGTATACCGTGGATATTTCAAACTTAGATTATTTAATCTAACATAATTAATAGTAAGAATATCTAAGGTATATTAGGTTACATTGCAAAGATACAGAGTAATTAATTCCCTTAAAGGAATTTACTGGGTAATTCTAGTAGCCCTTTAAAATAGGATTCGATAAACATTGAAACGGTACCAACTACAAAGTTAGACCATCGCGCGTCTCTGCTATAGAGAAACCCAGGCATCGCTTATCATATAAAATATTTCCAATATTACAGGAAATACTTGAGCTGAAAATCCGTTATGAGGACGAGCTGAGGAAAGAGCGTGAAAGCAATGTCAGGTATATTAATCTTTTCAAAATTTATAAAGAAGCATTTTTAAAGGTACTGTATAACGCATTCTCAAGTGACTTAATTGGCATACCCGATTCCCGACAATACCATTAAACCTTTTAATCATCAAGGATGACGGATTTATTTATATTTTTTTCTACAGAAACGCTTTTAATTCTTGCTAACTTTGTATGCAAGCTGTTTAATATCTAAAAAATATTGTTATTCATTTTCCGAAATTCACAGAAAAAAGATGTTTTCATTAAAATTTTTAAAAAAATATTTAAAAAACTTGAATTCAAACCGAACAAAAAAATCAAAACAAAACTTTTTTCTCAAATGATATTTCAAGCCGAGTATTTTTCACAAACTCAAATTTTCTTATCCTTATATCTTTGCAACCTTATGTCCGATCTTTTAGTTATTTCAAGCTACGACTATTGTACCTAATAGAATTCATAGTTTGAAATATATAAGGTCTACAACATAGGGTTGCAAAGATAAAAGAGTTAGCCAATCTGAGTTTGTGGCAAAGACTCAATTCCTTTATTCAATTTAAGTTTCATAAAAATGTGCGAAATATAAGAGGAAACCTGTCTCGGAACCAATAAGAAACTTTTTATATCCAAAATCATGAAATTGTGAATAAAAATACGGGATAAAAATTCTCTCAAAATAGAATAAAACTCACTGAAAATAACGTTTTTAATCAATATACTTTTGAACTGTTAAGGTTGCGAGGAGAGCTTGGTATCTTGAAGAAGAAGCAGGTTGTATCCCAGAAGGACCTGGAAGAACAGAAGGATAATCTAACCTCTCTCTCCCAGGACCTCACCCGGCTAGAGACCAAGATATCCAACCTGGAGAAGGATAAACTTGAACTCAAGAAGGAAATCAAATCTCGGGATAATATCATCCTAAGCAAAGAGAAGGATATCTCCGAGTTAAAGAGTACGGTTCGAAGTATGGAGAAATATAAATACGTTCTGAATCACAAGATTGGGTTGTTAGAAGAAGAGATTATACCGAAGGTAAATTGAAAAAAAACTTCCTTGTCCGACGTTTCTATCCTCAAACATACATATTAAAGCACAAATCTATAAGGCTGGGTTTAAAGCTAATCTTTCAGTGGTTTTTAACTGCAATGATCAGCTAGTCAACTTGAGCAAGCGAAGAGAGACTAATTCTGTTTTTTTTGGCCTTCTCAAGGTTCTATGAACGTGTTGCATTCAATATTCATTTGACATTTGATTTAGAATTCTAAGATCATCTAAATATTTGCACTAGCATACCAAGATCAATGAAAAATTTGATTTAGAATTCAAGACCAACTAGATGTTTGTTTAGGGTTCTAAGATCCACTAAATATTGGATTTATGATTTAAAGATCAACTAAATATTGGATTTAGGATTTAAAGATCAACTAAATATTTTATTTAGGATTCAAAGATCAACTGAATGGTTTAGGATTCAAAGATCATCTAGATTATATAATTTAGAGTTCTGAGATCGACCAAATATTTAATTTAGGGTTCTAAGATCAACTACATATTTAACTTCGAATTCTAATATCACCTAAATATTTGATTTTGGATTCCATGATTAACTAGATATTTGATTTATGATTCTAAGATCAACTTAATATTTAAGTTAGGATTTAAACATTAACTAAATATTTAATTTAGAATTCTAAGATCAACAAGTATTTGTTTAGGATTATAAGATCAATAAGTGCATTTAAATTAGGACGCAGATCAACTAAACAATTAATTAAGGATTCTAAGATCAATTAAGTATTTGTTTTAGGATTCAAAGATTAACGAGATGAAAGCTCAGATCCTGGCAATGGAAGCTGAGTTGACCAGCGTAGTCAAGGATCATCAGGAGAATAGTTCACAGATAAATGATACCAAGGTATTTTATAAAATACAGAATTGATTCAGTAATTTTTAATGAAGTAAAGATCAAGTTTGTCTCAGAAGATCTCGAGAAGGTAACTAAGTTTTTGCCAATAACTCAAATTTTCCATATATTTACAACCTCAAATTAAGTTTTTGGTCTAACAGAATTCATAGTTTGAAATATCAAAGCTCTACGACATTGGATTGCAAAGATATAGGGATTAGTTAATATAAGTTTGTGGTAGACTTTGAAAGATTTACAAACATTTCCTTCAAGATATGAAATGTTTTATGTTTTATTATTAAAACCATTTCTAGGTTTACTTGGTTTACTCTGTAGAACCACGGAAATGTTTTAATCTGGGTTTACAAATTTAAATTAGTTTGTTGACTTTTATAGGGACAGTTTAGTTTCCAGTCAAATCTAGGTTCCCAAGCTTGTTTATTTATATAATTTTAGTATGTTGACATATGTTGACTAGGTGAAGCTGGTGTCCACGAACCTTGAGCTGGTCCAGGAGAGGAAGAAGTTGTTGAGCCTGCAGAACCAGATCATCAAGATACACAAGGAGATCCAGATACTTGGATCCACTGTACAGGTTAAAGGAGTTATTCACACATTGTATCAAGGAACAATTTAACAATTTCATATTCATGTAAAAATATATTTTATTTTTTTATTTAAGGATCCAAAAAGACTGAAGGAAACCGTTTCAACCTTCTGTAAAAAGGTAAAAGTTTTAATAATAAATAAAAAGATTGTAAAATAATAATAAAAGATTTTAAAATTAAAAATAATGATAATTATTTAAGACTATCATTGATGTTAAACCCATAGCAATAAAAATTTGAAGAAAAAAATATATAACGCGCCAATAACAATGATAATATAAACAATAACAATGAAAAATAAACAACGATAATTAGCTGAAAAACATCAATAATGAAACAATAACAGTTATAATAAAACAATGGCAATAATATTAAATTATTCAATGATAATAAAATGATAACAAATAAAGGTAATAAAGGGAAGATAAAAAACTAAATAATTCAGAAATCAAAAACTTGAAATTCTAGTTTACTGGGGACAAAGTCCGGTATTACCAGGACGAGGAGAACCCACTTGAGGATGTTCTTAATCAGAAGGTTTACCTGGAGAACAAGGTTTCATCTCTTCATAACCAGCTTCATCAGGTACTTTACAATACCCCCCCCCCCTTGAGAATAAGGTTT